TACAGCGGATGCAGTATACCACATTGGCAGATGTGCAGGTGTGATGTAGAGGAGGCCACACCGGGTACAGCGGATGCAGTATACCACATTGGCAGATGTGCAGGTGTGATGTAGAGGAGGCCACAACGGGTACAGCGGATGATGCAGAGCTTTTCCAACAACTTTGTTTCTGTTAGAACTCAACCCACCCACCCACAGTGCTGCCGCCCCTTGCGCGGCCATTTCATGCTCAAACCATTCCCCACCCCAACCACAACAACCACCCGCCCACACGATGTCTCTTATCTCTCAAGTCATTATCGTCCGGGCGCTGTGCCCCAGCTTCGCCCGTTGTGGGGACAGCGAGCGGTTGTTGCCCTCGGCGCTGTCCGTGTTGGACGTCAGCGCGTTCTTCAAGGCCTTCACGCCGACGCTCTTCTGGAAGGTCTCCGTGGCGAAGTAGTAGGCCAGCGGGTCGAAGATGGCGTTGAGGCACGCCACGGCGATGGTGGCGCGGTAGGAGGCGCGCAGCGTCAGCTCCCGCTCCGGGGTGCGCACCGTGACGTACAGCAGCAGCACCGTGTGGTACGGCAGGAAGCAGACGACGAAGATGACCACGTTGGCCGCCACCATGTTGCGGATCTTGCGCCAGTCGACGTAGTCCATGCGGGTGGCGGAGCTGCGCCTCACCGCCCGCAGCAGGGACAGCGAGCAGACCAAGATGGTGGCCAGCGGGATGCCGTAGCCCACCAGCAGGGTGGCCGCCACCGTGGCCGGGTTGGTGACGTAGCTGGGCTTCTTGTCGAAGCACAGCGGGCAGGCGCCGGTCTCGTTGTCGGACTTTGGGATCACCAGGTAAGGCGGGATGCTGGCGCCCACCACCAGCAGCCAGACGCCGGCGCTGATCCACTTGGCGCGGCCGCGGAGCGAGTTCAGCCGCGACTTCATCGGGAAGCAGATGGCGACGCAGCGGTCCAGGCTGATGCACGTGAGGAAGAAGATGCTGCCGTACATGTTCACCAGGAAGACGAGGCCCGTGAGCTCGCACAGCCGCCATGGGAACTGCCGGCGGCTGACATAGAACAGGATCCGCACCGGCAGAGAGCCCACCAACAGCAGGTCGGTGCAGGCCAGGTTCTTCATGTAGACCGTGGTCTGTGAGCGGATCTTGGTGAAGCGGAAGAAGAAGACCAGGGCCAGGCTGTTGAACAGCAACCCGAACAAGAAGATTATGCTGAAGGCTGTCACGTAGAAGCGGTCCGACAACTGCTTGGAGCTCTCGCAGGTTTGATTCGCGACCCCCATTCTGCTGCCGACCGCTATTTTCCCGCTTGTCTTCAAGCTTGGGAGAGGCCTTCCTTAAGGGTGACGGGGTTTGGGGGTGGTGAAGGAGAGAGAGATTAGTTGGCGACGCTGCTCGTTTGTCCCAGGACCAAAGAAACACCCGAAAAAAATCGTCAACGAAAAGACCTCGCAAATGTTTCAAAGAGAACTAGCACCCGCTTTTTCTAGCCTTGT